GGCTAGTTACTGTGGTGGGTGAACACTCCCACTGTGGCTAGTTACTGTGGTGGGTGAACACTACCACTGTGGCTAGTTACTGTGGTGGGTGAACACTCCCACTGTGGCTAGTTACTATGGGGGGTGAACACTCCCACTGTGGCTAGTTACTATGGGGGGTGAACACTCCCACTGTCGTGTCCGTCAGTCCCCACCCACGGTAATACAGCCAAACGCTCTCACTGATCCATCACACTATTGCTGTTTCACTTAGCACATGAAGACTCCGAACAGCAGACAAAACTTCACCTCAGGCGAGCACCATCTTCCCGCGGTAACTCGCTGCCTTACGCAGGTACACTCACGTCTGGCGCCCGCGAGCACGAACGCCCGCGAGTATCACGGTAAAAGGCAGCATAACCTGTGATACATATACAGCAGTTGTGTGAGAGAGAGGGCAGCACTGCCTCACACTGCTCTCATTACCACACATCTGTATGTAAACTGCGGCCGCTGGGCCCCTCTCTACTACCCTCCCACGGGTCATTACCTCAGCCAACCTTCACACTCCCGAGAATACCCAAGCTGTCCGCCGCACACGCCAAGGGTACACCCGCTCACTGTGTGATGGGTAGCGGGGGTGTTGGTAGACTGTGCCCCTTGCTTGTCGTGTCCCCGTGTAGCTGGGACACACATATATATATATATATATATATATATATATATATATATATATATATATAAGATGCATAAATGCTTATATAAACGTATAAATGTATAAATGAGATGTATAAACATATCTAGTGACCTCTGAAGTTGAGCTTCAGAGGTCACTAGACTAATTAGTTAAGCAACTAAATGATAACTAGGTAATTAATTACAATGTTTACAGTTGTTAAGGTCAGGAAGAGTATATAGACCAAGTTGTTAATCTCACTAGACGGTTAAATGGCTCTCACTAAGACGCAGTAAAGGATACAATCACGGACACTTGAAGATGGCATAACAGGTAATTAGACTGACAGCTGTGATCATTAAGACTCAGGTTTAGGTAACGGGGCTAATTAGCCGTGTGGTCGTTAGTAGGAACAGTGCCTTAATGACCCGTCTGATTGGCTGCCAGGATCACGGTCACATTAACAGTGAAGTTTACACAACAGTGAAGTTTACACATGTGTCCTACCTCCCTCTTGGGTGTCCTGCCTCCCTCCTGGGTGTCCTGCCTCCCTCCTGGGTATCCTGCCTCCCTCCTGGGTGTCCTGCCTCCTTCCTGCGTGTCCTGCCTCCCTCCTGGGTGTCCTGCCACCCTCCTGGGTGTCCTGCCTCCCTCCTGGATGTCCTGCCTCCCTCCTGCGTGTCCTGCCTCCCTCCTGCGTGTCCTGCCGCCCTCCTGGGTGTCCTGCCGCCCTCCTGGGTGTCCTGCCTCCCTCCTGCGTGTCCTGCCGCCCTCCTGGGTGTCCTGCCGCCCTCCTGGGTGTCCTGCCTCCCTCCTGGATGTCCTGCCTCCCTCCTGGGTGTCCTGCCTCCCTCCTGCGTGTCCTGCCTCCCTCCTGCGTGTCCTGCCGCCCTCCTGGGTGTCCTGCCGCCCTCCTGGGTGTCCTGCCTCCCTCCTGGGTGTCCTGCCTCCCTCCTGGGTGTCCTGCCTCCCTCCTGCGTGTCCTGCCTCCCTCCTGGGTGTCCTGCCTCCCTCCTGGGTGTCCTGCCTCCCTCCTGGGTGTCCTTTCTCCCTCCTGGGTGTCCTGTCTCCCTCCTGGGTGTCCTGTCTCCCTCCTGGGTGTCCTGCCTCCCTCCTGCGTGTCCTGCCTCCCTCCTGGGTGTCCTGCCTCCCTCCTGTGTGTCCTGCCTCCCTCCTGGGTGTCCTGTCTCCCTCCTGGGTGTCCTGCCGCCCTCCTGGGTGTCCTGCCTCCCTCCTGGGTGTCCTGTCTCCCTCCTGGGTGTCCTGCCTCCCTCCTGGGTGTCCTGCCTCCCTCCTGGGTGTCCTGCCTCCCTCCTGGGTGTCCTGCCTCCCTCCTGGGTGTCCTGCCTCCCTCCTGGGTGTCCTGCCTCCCTCCTGGGTGTCCTGCCTCCCTCCTGGGTGTCCTGCCTCCCTCCTGGGTGTCCTGTCTCCCTCCTGCGTGTCCTGCCTCCCTCCTGGGTGTCCTGCCTCCCTCCTGGGTGTCCTGCCTCCCTCCTGGGTGTCCTGCCGCCCTCCTGGGTGTCCTGCCTCCCTCCTGGGTGTCCTGCCGCCCTCCTGGGTGTCCTGCCGCCCTCCTGGGTGTCCTGCCGCCCTCCTGGGTGTCCTGCCTCCCTCCTGCGTGTCCTGCCTCCCTCCTGCGTGTCCTGCCGCCCTCCTGGGTGTCCTGCCGCCCTCCTGGGTGTCCTGCCTCTCTCCTGGGTGTCCTGCCTCCCTCCTGGGTGTCCTGCCTCCCTCCTGCGTGTCCTGCCTCCCTCCTGGGTGTCCTGCCTCCCTCCTGGGTGTCCTGCCTTCCTCCTGGGTGTCCTGTCTCCCTCCTGGGTGTCCTGTCTCCCTCCTGGGTGTCCTGCCTCCCTCCTGCGTGTCATGCCTCCCTCCTGGGTGTCCTGCCTCCCTCCTGGGTGTCCTGCCTCCCTCCTGCGTGTCCTGCCTCCCTCCTGGGTGTCCTGCCTCCCTCCTGGGTGTCCTGCCTCCCTCCTGCGTGTCCTGCCTCCCTCCTGGGTGTCCTGCCTCCCTTCTGGGTGTCCTGCCTCCCTCCTGGGTGTCCTGCCGCCCTCCTGGGTGTCCTGCCGCCCTCCTGGGTGTCCTGCCGCCCTCTTGGGTGTCCTGCCTCCCTCCTGGGTGTCCTGCCTCCCTCCTGGGTGTCCTGCCGCCCTCCTGGGTGTCCTGCCGCCCTCCTGGGTGTCCTGCCTCCCTCCTGGATGTCCTGCCTCCCTCCTGCGTGTCATGCCTCCCTCCTGGGTGTCCTGCCTCCCTCCTGGGTGTCCTGCCTCCCTCCTGGGTGTCCTGCCTCCCTCCTGGGTGTCCTGCCTCCCTCCTGGGTGTCCTGCCTCCCTCCTGGGTGTCCTGCCTCCCTCCTGGGTGTCCTGCCTCCCTCCTGGGTGTCCTGCCGCCCTCCTGGGTGTCCTGCCGCAATCCTGGGTGTCCTGCCGCCCTCCTGGGTGTCCTGCCTCCCTCCTGGGTGTCCTGCCTCCCTCCTTGAGTTCCTGCCGCCCTCCTGGGTGTCCTGCCGCCCTCCTGGGTGTCCTGCCTCCCTCCTGGATGTCCTGCCTCCCTCCTGCGTGTCCTGCCTCCCTCCTGCGTGTCCTGCCGCCCTCCTGGGTGTCCTGCCGCCCTCCTGGGTGTCCTGCCTCTCTCGTGGGTGTCCTGCCTCCCTCCTGGGTGTCCTGCCTCCCTCCTGCGTGTCCCGCCTCCCTCCTGCGTGTCCCGCCTCCCTCCTGGGTGTCCCGCCTCCCTCCTGGGTGTCCTGCCTCCCTCCTGGGTGTTCTGTCTCCCTCCTGGGTGTCCTGTCTCCCTCTTGGGTGTCCTGCCTCCCTCCTGGGTGTCCTGCCTCCCTCCTGGGTGTCCTGTCTCCCTCCTGGGTGTCCTGCCGCCCTCCAGGGTGTCCTGCCTCCCTCCCGGGTGTCCTGTCACCCTCCTGGGTGTCCTGCTGCCCTCCTGGGTGTCCTTCCGCCCTCCTGGGTGTCCTGCCTCCCTCCTGGGTGTCCTGCCTCCCTCCTGGGTGTCCTGCCTCCCTCCTGGGTGTCCTGCCTCCCTCCTGCGTGTCCTGCCGCCCTCCTGGGTGTCCTGCCGCCCTCCTGGGTGTCCTGCCTCTCTCGTGGGTGTCCTGCCTCCCTCCTGGGTGTCCTGCCTCCCTCCTGCGTGTCCCGCCTCCCTCCTGCGTGTCCCGCCTCCCTCCTGGGTGTCCTGCCTCCCTCCTGGGTGTCCTGCCTCCCTCCTGGGTGTTCTGTCTCCCTCCTGGGTGTCCTGTCTCCCTCTTGGGTGTCCTGCCTCCCTCCTGGGTGTCCTGCCTCCCTCCTGGGTGTCCTGTCTCCCTCCTGGGTGTCCTGCCGCCCTCCCGGGTGTCCTGCCTCCCTCCCGGGTGTCCTGTCACCCTCCTGGGTGTCCTGCTGCCCTCCTGGGTGTCCTGCCGCCCTCCTGGGTGTCCTGCCTCCCTCCTGGGTGTCCTGCCTCCCTCCTGGGTGTCCTGCCTCCCTCCTGGGTGTCCTGCCTCCCTCCTGGGTGTCCTGCCTCCCTCCTGGGTGTCCTGCCTCCCTCCTGGTCCTGTGTCCTGCCTCCTCCTGGGTGTCCTGCCTCCCTCCTGGGTGTCCTGGGTGTCCTGCCTCCCTCCTGGGTGTCCTGCCTCCCTCCTGGGTGTCCTGCCTCCCTCCCTGCCCCCTCCTGGGTGTCCTGCCTCCCTCCTGGGTGTCCTGCCTCCCTCCTGGGTGTCCTGCCTCCCTCCTGGGTGTCCTGCCTCCCTCCTGGGTGTCCTGCCGCCCTCCTGGGTGTCCTGCCGCCCTCCTGGGTGTCCTGCCGCCCTCCTGGGTGTCCTGCCGCCCTCCTGGGTGTCCTGCCTCCCTCCTGGGTGTCCTGCCGCCCTCCTGGGTGTCCTGCCGCCCTCCTGGGTGTCCTGCCTCCCTCCTGGGTGTCCTGCCTCCCTCCTGGGTGTCCTGCCTCCCTCCTGGGTGTCCTGCCTCCCTCCTGGGTGTCCTGCCGCCCTCCTGGGTGTCCTGCCGCCCTCCTGGGTGTCCTGCCTCCCTCCTGGGTGTCTTGCCTCCCTCCTGGGTGTCCTGCCTCCCTCCTGGGTGTCCTGCCTCCCTCCTGGGTGTCCTGCCGCCCTACTGGGTGTCCTGCCTCCCTCCTGGGTGTCCTGCCGCCCTCCTGGGTGTCCTGCCGCCCTCCTGGGTGTCCTGCCTCCCTCCTGGGTGTCCTGCCTCCCTCCTGGGTGTCCTGCCGCCCTCCTGGGTGTCCTGCCGCCCTCCTGGGTGTCCTGCCGCCCTCCTGGGTGTCCTGCCGCCCTCCTGGGTGTCCTGCCTCCCTCCTAGGTGTCCTGGGGTCAACACCCGCACATTACTGACCTCGGCCAAACATGATTATATCGCTGCTGACTCTGGAGGCTGTGTCCCCACCCACACCCCGTCCCCTGCTCGTCTCGGGGCACGGGTGTGGCCACCGGGGCAAGGGTGTGGCCACCGGGGCAAGGGTGTGGCCACCGGGGCAAGGGTGTGGCCACCGGGGCAAGGGTGTGGCCACCGGGGCAAGGGTGTGGCCACCCGGGCAAGGGTGTGGCCACCGGGGCAAGGGTGTGGCCACCGGGGCAAGGGTGTGGCCACCGGGGCAAGGGTGTGGCCACCGGGGCAAGGGTGTGGCCACCGGGGCAAGGGTGTGGCCACCGGGGCAAGGGTGTGGCCACCGGGGCAAGGGTGTGGCCACCGGGGCAAGGGTGTGGCCACCGGGGCAAGGGTGCGGCCACCGGGGCAAGGGTGCGGCCACCGGGGCACGGGTGTGGCCACCGGGGCAAGGGTGTGGCCACCGGGGCAAGGGTGTGGCCACCGGGGCAAGGGTGTGGCCACCGGGGCAAGGGTGTGGCCACCGGGGCAAGGGTGTGGCCACCGGGGCAAGGGTGTGGCCACCGGGGCAAGGGTGTGGCCACCGGGGCAAGGGTGTGGCCACCGGGGCAAGGGTGTGGCCACCGGGGAAGGGTGTGGCCACCGGGGCAAGGGTGTGGCCACCGGGGCCACATGTAAGACCAATCCTGGAGTATGCGGCCCCAGCATGGAGCCCGTACCTTGTCAAGCACAAGACGAAGCTGGAAAAAGTCCAAAGGTATGCTACTAGACTATTCCCAGAACTAAGAGGCATGAGTTACGAGGAAAGGCTGCGGGAAATGCACCTTACGACACTGGAAGACAGAAGAGTAAGGGGAGACATGATCACAACCTACAAAATCCTCAGAGAAATCGACCGGGTAAACAAGGATAAAATATTCAACACTGGTGGGACACGAACAAGGGGACACAGGTGGAAACTTAGTACCCACATGAGCCACGGGGACGTCAGAAGGAACTTTTTCAGTGTCAGAGTAGTTAACAGGTGGAATGCATTAGGCAGTAATGTGGTGGAGGCTGACTCCATACACAGTTTATAATGTAGATATGATAGAGCCCAATAGGCTCAGGAACCTGTACACCAGTTGATTGACAGTTGAGAGGCGGGACCAAAGAGCCAGAGCTCAACCCCCGCAAGCACAAATAGGTGAGTACACACACACACTCACACACACACACACACACACACACACACACACACACACACACACACACACACACACACACACACACACACACACACACACACACACACACATGTGTACACAATAAATCTCTACCAAAGCTGGGCTGTCAACACACCTGCGTCACTCCTCCCTCTCAGTCTTGGCTATGATGTATCTCTTGGCAGGTGTGGAGCCCCTCGGGGCAGTCCCCCGGGGCTGTCCCCCGGGGCTGTCCCTCGGGGCTGTCCCTTGGCAGCGCCGCTGTGGGAAGACCACCACAAGAGGCACTAGAGGAAGAGGCTGGCCCTCCACAAGAGGCTGGCCCTCCACAAGAGGCTGGCCCTCCACAAGAGGCACAGTGCCACAACACCACTACCCAAAACTGTGGCAGAAATGTCCCCCAGTGCCTCATAAACCTGCCACACCTGTCACCAGCGGGGCCGCCGCCCCCTCACGCCCTCACTCACGCCTCTACACTTTTCTCACGGCTCTATTAAAGACCAATTTCGTCCTCTTTATATATCTCATTTTCAGCCCAACGAACTGGTGAGAAAAATGAGAGCAGCGCTGGCAGTTAGCGCAGACTCACGGGGTGTCGCTGTGATGAATGACCGCTAAATATTAGCGGGGAGAGATATGTAGCGGGGTGTGTCGTGGTGGTGAAAGGTGCTAATATTAGCGACCAGAGGTGTAGCTAGGTAGGGTAGAGGTGCTAATATTAGCGGCGAGGTGTACCAGGGTTGGGTAGAGGTGCTAATATTAGCGACCAGAGGTGTAGCAGGGGAGGGTAGAGGTGCTAATATTAGCGACCAGAGGTAGCTAGGTAGGGTAGGGGTGCTAATATTAGCGACGAGGAGTAGCTAGGTCGGGTAGAGGTGCTAATATTAGCGACCAGAGGTGTAGCTAGGTCGGGTAGTGGTGCTAATATTAGCGACCAGAGGTGTTTAGCAGGGTTGGGTAGAGGTGCTAATATTAGCGACGAGGTGTAGCAGGGTCGGGTAGAGGTGCTAATATTAGCGACCAGAGGTGTAGCTAGGTAGGGTAGAGGTGCTAATATTAGCGACCAGAGATGATAAAGTTAGTTATTTTCATTATATTAAAAAGATAGTGTTGAGAAATCAGCTGCTATTGGTCCATACGAGGCAGCTGCTATTGGTCCATACGAGGCAGCTGCTATTGGTCCATACGAGGCAGCTGCTATTGGTCCATACGAGGCAGCTGCTATTGGTCCATACGATGCAGCTGCTATTGGTCCATACGAGGCAGCTGCTATTGGCCCATACGAGGCAGCTGCTATTGGCCCACACGAGGCAGCTGCTATTGGTCCATACGAGGCAGCTGCTATTGGTCCATACGAGGCAGCTGCTATTGGCCCACACGAGGCAGCTGCTATTGGTCCATACGAGGCAGCTGCTATTGGCCCACACGAGGCAGCTGCTATTGTTGTAATAACAGGTGTACTACAACCAAAATACAACACAACAGGTGTCCGGCGCACGACAGCACACATCAACACCACCACAACAACAGGTGCGGGTGAATCATGGGGCCAAGAAAAGTGATATTTGCCAGCTTAAAGGTGCGTAAATCAGGTTGAAGAGGGCGATCAGAGCGGCCATAAACCAAGCCACAGTAACTGTCGCTCTCTTAACGCACGCTTCTCCCGCCTCTTTTGTCACCCCGTAAATTAAGGAGATTATTTACGACTGTAAACAAACTCTGGTCTGACGGGGTGAGATTAGTAGCGGTGTTTCTGGGCTCGCTGGCTGCTACCACCAACAGCCTGTTGGACAAAGTTTTGGTCCACCAGGCTGTTGCTTGGAGCGGCCCGCAGGCCCACATACCCACCACAGCCCGGTGGGTCCGACACTCCTTGGAGGAAAACCATCTAGTTTTCTCTTGAAGATGTCCACGGTTGTTCCCGCCTCCTTCACCATACCCAACAGGTATGGTGAAAACGACAAAATTATAATTATACAACCCGTATATATATATATATATATATATATATATATATATATATATATATATATATATATATATATATATATATATATATATATATATATATATATATGGCCCAACACCTGAGCTTGGTATATGTACCAAGAACATATACTGGGCCAAACTCTTGCAATAAAACTCCTAAATTGTTGGAAACTCATAAAATTCTTCAAATTCCGTTGGCTGGAGTGCGGGCGAGAACCATATTTCTTATTTTATATTAGAAAAGCTTTAGAGAAATTGGTTCTAAATCTTGTCACTGATAGAGTTCTTTAAAGGACTACCAGGCACAGTAGAAGGTTCAGTTGTGGTACTTCTGTGTGGTTGGTACTGTGGACCAGTGGTTGGTACTGTGAACCACTGGTTGGTACTGTGAACCACTGGTTGGTACTGTGAACCACTGACTGGTACTGTGAACCACTGGCTGGTACTGTGAACCAGTGGCTGGTACTGTGAACCAGTGGTTGGTACTGTGAACCACTGGTTGGTACTGTGAACCACTGGTTGGTACTGTGAACCACTGGTTGGTACTGTGAACCAGTGGTTGGTACTGTGAACCAGTGGCTGGTACTGTGAACCACTGGTTGGTACTGTGAACCACTGGTTGGTACTGTGAACCAGTGGTTGGTACTGTGAACCAGTGGTTGGTACTGTGAACCAGTGGTTGGTACTGTGAACCAGTGGTTGGTACTGTGAACCAGTGGTTGGTACTGTGAACCACTGGTTGGTACTGTGAACCACTGGTTGGTACTGTGAACCAGTGGCTGGTACTGTGAACCACTGGTTGGTACTGTGAACCACTGGTTGGTACTGTGAACCACTGGTTGGTACTGTGAACCAGTGGTTGGTACTGTGAACCACTGGTTGGTACTGTGAACCACTGGTTGGTACTGTGAACCACTGGTTGGTACTGTGAACCAGTGGTTGGTACTGTGAACCAGTGGTTGGTACTGTGAACCACTGGTTGGTACTGTGAACCAGTGGCTGGTACTGTGAACCAGTGGCTGGTACTGTGAACCAGTGGTTGGTACTGTGAACCAGTGGCTGGTACTGTGAACCACTGGTTGGTACTGTGAACCACTGGTTGGTACTGTGAACCACTGGTTGGTACTGTGAACCAGTGGTTGGTACTGTGAACCAGTGGTTGGTACTGTGAACCAGTGGCTGGTACTGTGAACCACTGACTGGTACTGTGAACCAGTGGTTGGTACTGTGAACCACTGGTTGGTACTGTGAACCACTGGTTGGTACTGTGAACCAGTGGCTGGTACTGTGAACCACTGACTGGTACTGTGGACCAGTGGTTGGTACTGTGGACCACTGGTTGGTACTGTGAACCACTGGTTGGTACTGTGAACCAGTGGCTGGTACTGTGAACCACTGACTGGTACTGTGGACCAGTGGTTGGTACTGTGGACCAGTGGTTGGTACTGTGGACCAGTGGTTGGTACTGTGAACCACTGACTGGTACTGTGGACCAGTGGTTGGTACTGTGGACCAGTGGTTGGTACTGTGGACCAGTGGTTGGTACTGTGAACCACTGGTTGGTACTGTGAACCAGTGGCTGGTACTGTGAACCACTGGTTGGTACTGTGAACCAGTGGCTGGTACTGTGAACCACTGACTGGTACTGTGGACCAGTGGTTGGTACTGTGGACCAGTGGCTGGTACTGTGAACCACTGACTGGTACTGTGGACCAGTGGTTGGTACTGTGAACCAGTGGCTGGTACTGTGAACCACTGACTGGTACTGTGGACCAGTGGTTGGTACTGTGAACCACTGGTTGGTACTGTGAACCAGTGGCTGGTACTGTGAACCACTGACTGGTACTGTGGACCAGTGGTTGGTACTGTGGACCAGTGGCTGGTACTGTGGACCAGTGGTTGGTACTGTGAACCAGTGGTTGGTACTGTGAACCACTGGTTGGTACTGTGAACCACTGGTTGGTACTGTGAACCACTGGTTGGTACTGTGAACCACTGGCTGGTACTGTGAACCAAGTCCTGGTACTGTGAACCACTACCTGGTACTGTGAACCACTACCTGGTACTGTGAACCACTGGTTGGTACTGTGAACCGCTGGCTGGTACTGTGAAGCACTGTGGTTGGTACTGTGAACCAGTGCCTGGTACTGTGAACCACTGGCTTGTACTGTGAACCACTGGTTGGTACTGTGAACCACTGGTTGGTACTGTGAACCACTGTCTGGTACTGTGAAGCACTGTGGTTGGTACTGTGAACCACTGTCTGGTACTGTGAAGCACTGTGGTTGGTACTGTGAACCACTGACTGGTACTGTGAACCACTGGTTGGTACTGTGAACCACTGGCTGGTACTGTGAAGCACTGACTGGTACTGTGAACCAGTGGCTGGTACTGCGAACCACTGGCTGGTACTGTGAACCACTGGCTGGTACTGTGAACCACTGGTTGGTACTGTGAACCACTGGCTGGTACTGTGAAGC